TCATTTTTATTTTCAATTGTAATCTTGTATTTTTGTTATCTTGTAAGTTTTCACTAACAATTTTAAGGAGATTCAACATGGCTACAATTGAAAAAACCGCGGATTTCAAGATGGGAGACCTTAACAAGTCATTTCGGTTCAATGGTAACCATTTTAAGAGATGGAAGGGTAAAGTACTTTTCTACTTGAGTCTTCTCAATGTTTCTTATGTGTTAACTGAGAAGAATCCTAATAAAGTAGATATCACCTCTATGAATGATGATGAAACTATTTCTAATCTAGAGAAAGTGGAAAAATACGATGGTGAATCCTATAAGTGTCGGTATTATATTCTTAATTGTCTATCTGATAATTTTTATGATAGAACTTACTCTAGTGCAAAGAAAATTTGGAAAGCGTTGCAGAGTAAGTATGATACCGAAGAGGCTGGAGCGAAAAAATATGCGGCTAGTAGATTTTTTCGTTTCCAAATGCAACAAATCAATGGTAGACCAAGCTCAAGACTTTATAATGATTGTTGGAGAGCTAAGGTCCGAGGAGGTAAAAATTGGAGATAACCTTATTGTTTGTGGCATAGTAGATAAACTTCCACCTTCTTGGAAGGAATTTCAAAAACTATGCGCCACAAACAAAAGGAAACCTCCCTTGAAACCTTGATAATGAAAATCCGCATGGAAGAAGAGGCTAGGGGCCAAGATGCACTTTTACAAACAGAAGAGAGCAACATCACAACGAAGGTAAATTTAATTACTTCAAATAATGCTACTCCTGAAACTCACAAAAATACTTCTTTGAAGCCTAAGAAGAAAAAATTCAAGAAAAATAATGGTAGACCTCCCAAGAAAAATAATGGTGAAACTATCCAATTACAAAATCAACAAGTTCAAGACAAGGGACCATGCTTTGTTTGTGGCAAGAGTGGGCATATTGCTCGATTTTGCAGATTCCGGAAACGTGGTCCTAACCCTCAGGCAAACGTTACCGAAGAACCTTTTGTGGCGGTGATTATCGACATAAACATGGTTGAGAATGTTGATGGATGGTGGGCTGATTCTGGTGCAAACCGTCATGTCTGTTATGACAAAGACTGGTTTAAGAAATATACTTATTTTGAGGAGCCCAAAACCATCATGCTTGATGATGCTCACACTACTCAAGTGCTTGGAAAGGGAGATGTCGAATTGTGTTTTACTTCTGGAAGGGTATTAACTTTGAAAGATGTACTTTATACTCCTTCTATGAGGAAAAATTTGATGTCTAGTTTTCTTCTTAATAAAGCAGGCTTTAAACAGATTATTGAATCTGATCAATATGTAATAGTGAAGAAGGGTATTTTTGTGGGAAAGGGGTATGCATGTGATGGGATGTTCAAATTGAATGTTGAAATGAATAAAACTTCTACTTATGTTTACATGCTTTCTTCTAACAATTTTTGGCATGCTCGTTTGTGTCATATTAATGACCGTTATGTTGGAATCATGAGTAGTTTAGGATTAATTCCAATGATTAAAAAGAATTTTGAAAAGTGTGAGGCTTGTAGTAAAGCCAAAATCACTAAAAGGCCTCATTTACAAGTTCAAAGAAAAACTGATTTGTTAGAATTAGTTCATACTGATATTTGTGAACTTGGTGGAATTTTAACTCGTGGAGGTAATAGATATTTTATCACTTTCATTGATGATTTTTCTAAGTTTACATATGTTTACTTGATGAAAAATAAAAGTGATGCTTTTGAAAACTTTAAAGTTTATCTCCATGAAGTTGAAAATCAGTTTGGAAGAAAAATAAAAAGAATTAGAAGTGATAGAGGCCGTGAATATGAGTCAAATGAGTTTAATTCTTTTGTTAGATCATTGGGAATAATTCATGAAACTACTCCTCCTTACTCTCATTCATCTAAAGGAGTAGCGGAAAGGAAAAATAGAACTTTGGTTGAATTGACTAATGCCATGCTTATTGAGTCACATGCACCTTTAAATTTTTGGGGTGAAGCTATTTTAACTGCTTGTTATGTGTTGAATCATGTGCCTCATAAAAAATCTAAATTGACAC